ACCAACGATGGGGCACTATACCTCCCCCCACTGACACCAATGATGGGGCACTATTCCTCCCACTGACACCAACGATGGGGCACTATTCCTCCCACTGACACCAATTATGGGGCACTATTTTTCCCACTGATACCAATGATGGGGCACTATTCCTCCCCACTGATACCAATGATGGGGCACTATTCCTCCCACTGACACCAACGATGGGGCACTATTCCTCCCACTGACACCAATGATGGGGCACTATTCCTCCCACTGACACCAACGATGGGGCACTATTCCTCCCACTGACACCAACGATGGGACACTATTCCTCCCACTGACACCAATGATGGGGCACTATTCCTCCCACTGACACCAACGATGGGGCACTATTCCTCCCACTGACACCAATGATGGGGCACTATTCCTCCCACTGATACCAATGATGGGGCACTATTCCTCCCCACTGACACCAATGATGGGGCACTATTCCTCCCACTGACACCAACGATGGGGCACTATTCCTCCCACTGACACCAATGATGGGGCACTATTCCTCCCACTGACACCAATGATAAGGCACTATTCCTCCCAATGACACCCACAATGGGGCACTATTCCTGCCACTGACACCCACAATGGGGCACTATTCCTGCCACTGACACCCACAATGGGGCACTATTCCTCCCACTGACACCAATGATGAGGCACTATTCCTCTCAATGACACCCACAATGGGGCACTATTCCTCCCACTGACACCCACAATGGGGCACTATTCCTCCCACTGACACCCACAATGGGGCACTATTCCTCCCACTGACACCAATGATGGGGCACTATTCCTCCCACTGACACCAATGATGGGGCACTATTCCTCCCAATGACACCCACGAGGGGGCACTATTCCTCCCAATGACACCAATGATGGGGCACTATTCCTCCCACTGATACCAATGATGGGGCACTATTCCTCCCACTGACACCAATGATGAGGCACTATTCCTCCCAATGACACCCACAATGGGGCATTATTCCTCCCACTGACACCCACAATGGGGCACTATTCCTCCCACTGACACCAATGATGGGGCACTATTCCTCCCACTGATACCAATGATGGGGCACTATTCCTCCCACCGACACCAATGATGGGGCACTATTCCTCCCACTGACACCAATCATGAGGCACTATTCCTCCCAATGACACCCACAATGGGGCACTATTCCTCCCACTGACACCCACAATGGGGCACTATTCCTCCCACTGACACCCACAATGGGGCACTATTCCTCCCACTGACACCCACAATGGGGCACTATTCCTCCCACTGACGCCAATGATTGGGCACTATTCCTCTCACTGACGCCAATGATTGGGCACTATTCCTCCCACTGACGCCAATGATTGTACACTATTCCTCCCACTGTCGCCAATGATGGAGCACTATTCCCCCCACTGACACCAATGATGGGGCACTATTCCTCCCACTGATACCAATGATGGGGCACTATTACTGCAAAATTACAGTTATGAAGTAGCAACGAAAATAATTTTATGGTTGGGGGTCACCACAACATGAGGAACTGTATTAAGGGGTCGCGGCATTAGAAAGGTTGAGAACCACTGGGTTAGTGTGTTCGGCTGTTAACCGAAAGGTTGGTGGTTCAAGGCCACCCAGGGACGAGTTTTATTTATATCTAGAAATAATACAGCTTAAAGCAGAACTTCTGCTTTTCCTCTTCCAACCTCCTCCTCTACCACTTTTGGAAGTAATTTTTTCTGAACATAGGTCAGGTGCAATGTTTTGGCCAAACAAAGTGCATGATGATGTCCCAAGGGGGTGGGGCCACCCCTGTGACTTCATGACAGTATTTAAGAATCAGTATCCTGATGCAGCTGTCAGATGGCGGGAGCCAGCGTCGAAAGTGGAGCTTTTTTTTTTTTTTCTTTTTTCAAGCTGGCGGTAGCGGAGGGCATCGTGATTGATGTTGGATCTACTTTGGGGGACATTTTTTTTTCATTTTTGTTTTTAATAAAGGTTTTGTCAAAGCCTGTCTGCTGTCATTTTTTACACTACACTTTTTTTTTGTGAATGTGTAGCGGTACCATGTATCCTATACTCATTCACAAGGGGGGGGGGGCAGGATCTGAGAGGGGATATTGTGGGGAAGAGGCTCTTGTCCCCATCAACATGGGGACACGGTGCTTCGGGGGGGAGCCCTCCCTGCCCAAAATCCCCATGTTGAGGGCATGTTGCCTAGTATGGTTCAAGAAGGGGGGAGCTCACTTGTCCTTCCCCTTTCCTCACCTGCTGGATTAGTGCTTGGTTAAAGCTCTGGTATGGATTTTGGAGGGTGTCACAAATGCGCGCAACAGAGACTGACACAGTCTGCCATTTTGTTAAGAATCTCCATTTTCTCCCCTCACTCTCCTTCCCACCTCCCTCCTCACTCTGAGAGTCACAGTGATAGTGTATGTGTGTGTTAAAAAATGTCACAGGAGGGTCATAGGAGCTATAAAGGCCCCCCCAGGGAGCCGGGGCCTAGCTGTTGGAGAACCTGTGCCATTTCACACCTCGGAAGAGATAAGGCAAGCTTTCTCAGGAGTTGAGAGAGATTCCAACCTAATAAAACCTACTCAGCATAGGTGACTGAATCAGATAACACGTCTCAAAATCCATGTTTCCCCTATGTCTCAAGTCTTGGAATATGGGAGACTTACATAAAAACCGGAGATATCGTCAGATGGACGATGAGCAGGCGAACAGTTTGATGGGTTACTCACCTTGTCTCGGACACACAGGAAAGCAGAAAAATAGATCTTGCGAACCGTTCAGTGTACACTTTCATAATTCATATCTAATCAATCCTCAGACTTGTCTGCATAATAATCTACCCGTGGGTGGGATGTCACTGGTGCAGATGGAAAGTTATAGGCCAAAATATGAGTTATGGGAGATTTTTGCTCCAGTTGAGGCATCCACTCATATCTCCACGCCCTAAGCAGAGATTGACCATCGTAATATAGTGAGATCAAAGCACCCTTCTGCTAACCCAGGACTTTGGCAAGTACTTTAACCCTTTCACCTCTCTCTGATATCTCTTTGCTGTGCTATGGTTCTTTGTATATGTATATATACAGTATATCTTAGGTACATCTTTTTCTGTAAATATTTCTATTGCACCCGTTTGACCTTTTAGTAATAAATCTTTCCTTCTGAAAGTGTTGAACTGTTTCTATAGCGCTTTATTGCAATTTACGAATTCCTGCCTCTAAAGAGAACGCTACTGTGTTTGATTAAACCTCTGTATACCCGGCCTGCGGACTGTTTTATACAGATAATTATCTCGATCATTATAGTGTTATAGCTGATAACGCTGAGTTTCCTCTTTCTCTGTACAAAAAGGAGGTGGTGGCAGTGTGAAGGGTTAATTGCGTAATTAACTTGACCCAGTAACAATCGCCCAGGCTGCCGGTACATCGATTGTGGTCCATTAGCTGGAAAATTGTTGTGCAAGGGGCAGCTGGGTGTGGCATTGTTACGCAGGTCACATCGCGGTTCTAGATCGGCTAGTCCTTCGGTCACGAGTTTGGTGAGAAGGTCTGGGGTCTGACGCCGCGATCGTGACAGAGGGGACCCTATGCCATTTAAAAAATTTTTTTTAAAAATCCATAGCAGACTCCAAGGGCTTGGTATGGATGGGCGGGGGACCCCACACCGTTTTTTTTTAACTGTTTTAAGTGCTGGGCAATGCTGGCAATTCCTTTTCCATTCTACATTCTACTTTACATTACTTTTACATTATGAAAAGTGAAATTCTGCCTGAAAAAGTGAACTTAGCCTTTAACATGTTTGTACCTGGGACTTACTGGCCTCCTAAATATGTCATGAATTAAACTGTATAAATCAGGGGTCGGCAACCCACTGATCGCTTTCCACCTGTCGACCACGGGCAGCTGACAGGTAGACCGCGAACAGATTCCCCTTCCCCCAGCCTCCACCGCTGCTGTCATCCTCACTGCACAGCGGAGAGCAGAAGGCAGCACAGCTAAGTTGGAGGGCGGGAGGAGTAGCAGGACAAATTAACTTTTCATATTAACCCGCAGATGATTGGTTGCTAGGTCGGTCCCAGGCCTTTTTTAAAGAATCCACTGAGCTGGCCAGAACCAACTCTTGAGGGAGTCTATTCCACATTTTCACAGCTCTTACTGTGAAGAAACCTTTTCGTGTTTGGAGATTACATTTCTTTTCCTCCAGACGTAAAGAGTGCCCCCTTGTCCTCTGTGACGACCTCAGGGTGAATAACTCTACACCGAGTTCACTATATGAACCACTGATGTATTTATACATATTGATCATATATCCCCTTATATATTATACATATTGATTATATACCCCCTTAATCTCCTCTTCTCAAGAGAGAATAAATGCAGTTCCTCTAATCTTTCCTCATAGCTGATCTCCTCCATGCCTCTTATCAGTTTGGTTTCTCTTCTCTGTACTTTCTCCAGTTCCCCAATGTTCTTTTTGTGAATTAGTGCCCAAAACTGAACTGTATATTCCAGATGAGGTCTTACTAATGATTTGTACCGGGGTAATATGATATCTCTCTCTCTGGAGTCTATACCTCTTAATACAAGAGAGGATTTTGCTCGCTTTAAAAACCGCAGCTTGGCATTGCATGCCATTATTAAGCTTGTGATCAACCAGAACTCCCAGATCCCTTTCCACCATTGATTCCCCCAGTTGTACTGTGTCCTGTGTCCAATCACAGCACACACATAAAAAACAATATCAAGTGAAAGTAAAGATCAGTTCTCTCTGCTCTCATTCTGAAGCAATGCTGCACCCTGTGAGTGTACAACAGCCTGGCAGGCTGCTTGTACACTCACACAAACTGCAGTGCCAGCCATCCCTGATCACCACCCAAGTGTCCCTGATCACTGCCACAGAGAAATCATAATAAAAAAATGTAACCAGCATCTGTCACCTGTCCCAGTGCTCAGACAAACGTCACCATACACCATACCAATGTCCTGATGACTGCCATACCAACGACCTGATCACCACCATACCCCATACCAGCATCCTGATCATGCCATATACCATACCAGTGCTCTGGTTACCGCCATACACCATACCAGCTCCTTGATCAGTGCAATACTCCATACCAGCGTTCTGATCACCCCCATACCACATACTAGCATTCTGATCACCCTATATGTCATACCAGTGTCCAGATTACCGCCATACATCGTACCAATATCCTGATCACTGCCATACCCCATACTCACGTCCTCATCACTGCCATACCCCATAGCAACATCCTGATCACCGCCATACCCCATAGCAGCATCCTGATCACCGCCATACCCCATAGCAGCATCCTGATCACCGCCATACCCCATAGCAGCATCCTGATCACCGCCATACCCCATAGCAGCATCCTGATCACCACCATACCCCACACCAGCATTCTGATCACCCCATATGCCATAGCAACAACCTTATCACTGCCATACCCCATACCAATGTCCTTATCACCGCCATAGCCCATACCAATGTCCTGATCAACGCTATACTTCATACCAGCATCCTGATCACCGCCATGCCAGCATCCTGATCACCACCATACCTCACGCCAACATTCTGATCACCGCCATACCTCATACCAACGTCCTGATCAATGCCATAGGTCATGACAGTGTCCAACATTTTCAACTGATCAATTTTCAGATATATATCTCATAGTTTGTGGACTCAAAATGTAGCAGAATACATTTTGGCCTTAAATTATGCAGAATATTTATATGCAAAATTGTATAACAAAAACTAAGCAGAGAGCAGAAGGCAGGTCAGCGAGAGGCACAGTAGCACTGAATGCAAGGCAGGAGCGTGAGCTGCCTGAGATAACTTTGCAGATTAACTAGCAGGTGATTGGTTGCTAGAACACATAGCGGTCCTAGCAACCAATCACCAGCTCGTTAATATGCAAAGTTAACTTCAGGATCTCCTGCTCCCCCCTCCATGCACTCTGCTCTGAGTACCTGTCAGGTAGCGGAGTGAGGGGGGCAGAGGACCTGGCTCTGAAGCATGGGGGAGATGCTTGATGTGAATATACAGACAGCTCTTGTTGGGGGAGGGGTGATGTGGAGGGGGCAGAGGACACTCCTCTGCAGGGGCAGAAAAAGACACTACTGTGGGGGGGTTGGGTGAAGGGGGGCAAAGGACACTGCTGGGGGGGGGGTTGATGTGAAGGGGGGTTCAGAACACTACTGTGAAGGGGCAGAGGACTCTGGTGTAAGTATGGGATTGTGATAAGAGCAGAGGGGTCTGTGATGTGAAGGACCTGAGTTCCTGGACTAACATGAGATTCAGACCTCTGCTGGAAGAAAAATGTTACTGATCAGAACTCTGTGAATTTGAACTCAATACCCCTGCTGTAAAGAATCAAAGAGAAAATTCTGAAAATCTTTCTTAGCAAATGGCCCACTGTAGAGCATCATGTCCAGCACAGGGGACACTAGCAGCACATTGTATAAATTGCACCACACGAGCTGATCACTCTCCATTTTCCCAGGTTCTGCACTCATACCTCTCTCACCCGCTGATCTCATAGCTGGAACATCACAACATGACATCACTCTCTGGCAGATACAGAAGTGCACAGTGGAAGTAACCCTGGCCCTCCTCCATGTAACAAAGTGTATCTAAACCCAAAAGTAAATAATTTAATATATATCAGTATGTAAGTCCCTAAATGTGATTGCCGCATAGATTTCTTCTTTCATGTTTTTTTTTTCTTTATTTTCACCTGGTTATTCTTCTAGCAACACATTTGCAGTCCTAGGATGACAACTGTCGCTTGCTCTTCTGTTTAAGGATGACAGAAAAAAAGACAGGACTACAAAACCTTATCACTCTCCTATTGTTCATAATATAGAGGGGTGTGATTCTGTAATCCTAAGAGAACAATGATATTGATAAGTTACAAAAATAGAGAAAACAGCTCCCTAACAGCCTACGTAAGAACAGTGTGCACGAGTCCTTACTGTACACTGCAGCTGAATATGTAACTGTATATTAACCGCTTACCATCCGCCCTATAATAGAAATACTGCTACAGGGCGGGAGGGGTGCGCAAAATCACGTATATATATATATGTGATTTTGCATTTCCGGGTAGGGGGCGCACATGAGGCATGCGAGTGCACTACTCGTGTTGCCATTCGCGGCCACAGCTGTAAATCACCAAAATCCCAGCCGGTGATTACTTGCCGGCGCCCAGTGATTGCCGAGGATCTCTGACGGGAAGGAGAACTGTTTGTAAACAAAACCGTTCTCCCTGTCAGCTCCTGCACACTGCTTTTCATGGTTGTGCACAGCACAGCTATCCAAAGCAGTGTGTTTACAGTGAAGCACAAACACACAACCCCCTAGCAAAACACTCCCTGCACACAGGTAGGGGATCCTTTGATCGCCCCTCATACTAACCCCTTCCTCCCAGTGTCATTAGTACAGTGTCTGTGTTTTTTTTTAGCACTGATTACTGTATTGGTTTCCCTGGGGATGTCAGTGACACCAAGTCAGTTTCCCCCCAGTGTCAGAATGCCCGCCGCAGTCCTGCTATAAGTCACTGATTGCTGCCATTACTAGTAAAAAATAAAAAAAAAATTCCAGTATATATATGGCCATTTGTAAACGCTATAACTTTCACTTAAATTAAATAATTTACATGTATTGGTATTTTTTTTTTAGCAAAGACATGTAGCAGAATACATTTTGGCCTAAATTTTTGACGAAATTTGATTTCTTCAATTTTTTTTACTGGACATAGCAAAAAGTCAAAAATATTGTTTTTTTCTTAAAATTGTCGGTCTTTTTTTTTTATAGCGCAAGAAATAAAAACCACACTGGCAATCAAATACCACCAAAATAAAGCTCAATTTGTGGGGAAAAAGGATGTAAATTTCATTTGAGTTCAGCGTTGCATGGCCGCGCGCAATTGTCAGTTAAATTAATGCAGCACCGTAACGCACAAAATGGCCTGGTCAGGAAGGGAGGTAAATCCTCAGGAGGGCAAGTGGTTAAATAAAATACAATGTTTATGAGCAAGCTAGAAAAAAGGCAATGAAACACAAAGGCAAATAAAATTTGCTAAGGTACAATTGTGAATGGAACATGTCAAAAGCCAACTAGCAGAGGATGGTTTCGATCCATCGACCTCTGGGTTATGGGCCCAGCACGCTTCCGCTGCGCCACTCTGCTGTATGTGAGAATGGGTGACAGCACCATTAGTAAGTACATGCTATGATCCTTAGATATGAGCTTTCTGCTAATCAGTTCTAATGCTTATATTTATTATTTGCTGGAGCTGCAGTGTAACTTACCTTAGCTGCTTTCTTCTTTATTGTGCTATGATGTGTTCTTGAATTTGATCTTACAGTCAGTTATCTTTTAGTAAAAAAAGCATCTCGTGAAATTTATTGTGATCGCTGATCCCTGATGAGGCTTTGCAGTTAATTAATACCTTTCTAGTGCATTAAAAATATGATGCTTATCTACAAAACCTCAAAAACAAAGTAGACATTCCAGTAAATGCTACCTGAAAATGATAAGATATCCAGCATGCTGCAAGTACTTGGATACAAATATAGCAGTCCCTGTGGAGCAATCATTTAGCACCATTCTTGTGCCATTTATGCACTGTATGTAAGCAGTATTTTTCAAATTTAAATTAGCTGCTTTCTTTTACAGAATATAACCAGAAATATTGTACAGTTGACCAGGGGTGGCTCCAGATCAAATTTCTTGGGAGTGCTACGTGGGTGCTGGAAGCACAAGTGGGGGAGCTGATGCACCCACTTTGCTCATGTGGACATGGCCAAATGGAAATGGTAAAAAATGAGTGTTTCTTCCCAGTCTGAAACTTGTAGTGTGCCACCTTTTCCCCTTTGTGTAGACTAAATAGGGCCTGGAGGTACACTGAAGAGGTTGTGGAAGTAAAATAAGTTCCCCTGGGGCCAGTAGTGAGAGCCACCAGCATATGCCTCCAGAGAACCATCTGAAGACTCACACACTGAAAACAGACCACATAGTCAAGCACTCTGTCCCATGCCAACGCCACATGCTCTTCCAGATCACTAATCCTTTGCACCACAAGCAACCACTCATATCAATCTGGCAGTACTGAGTCCCAGGAGTCTGCAAGTACTAAAGACAAGATGTCAGGAGCTTCAGAATTACTCTGCAGACCACAGATAGCTCCCCGATATTACACTCTTATTAGCTAGGAAAAGTTAAATACAGACTCTCACTATGGTGCATGGGTGTTGCCAGGGGCGGACTGACAACTCATGGGGACCCCAGGCAATAGAGGATCATGGGGCCCCTGTGTCGTCGCCCAAACTCAAAAAAGCCTATGAAAAAGGTACCAGGGGCATCTCATGAGGCCCCCTACTGACCCCGGGCCCTCGGGCAGTGCCCGAGTTTCCAAATGATCAGTCCGCCCCTGGGTGTTGCTAGGATTGTGAAAGACCTAGGGCACCCAGTGGCACACTAAAATTAAAAAGCAAAAAAAGCACCTAGCTTGCCAAGGCGAGAGATAGCACCCAACAGTGGGAGTGGCTTAACAGGCATAGGTTATGTAGAATCTGAGCCTACTTGCTCTATACACTGCACATATGTTGCAGTCCTTGTATCCACAAATATGCCTTATTCAGTGGGCTAGTCTAACAGATTCACATAAACCTTGGCACACAGAATCATTTTATATATTATTATTTTCTGCACACACAACATAGAGAGCTAACACTTTGTCTGATAGTACCTAACAGAAGAACCACCACAATTATTACAGTATATTACTGGTATGGGCTGGTATTATTACTATAATAACAGCTTATACCAGTAGTTGGGGAATTAATTTTCTTAATGTCGCATCGGGTTTCTTAGTTGATTTCATTGGATTTTTATCACTTCTCAATGATGTCTCTGAGTTTCTTCAGGTTTTTAATCTTAGCATGTCTTTTTACTCTTTGGTAAATTGGCAGCAAAATGAGCGTAGAGAGAGGGAGGCAAAGCAGCAACACCTGCTGGACTACGCGGGCAGATTTCTAAAGCAGTTTGAAGTAAAGCACTAGGGGTTGTCAAAGAAGAGCATGTATGTTGTGTTGCTTGGTACTTTGATAAAAAGGGAATGATTTGAGGTTGCAAGGGAAAAACAGTTTTGCAGGTTTCAGCACCAGAAGCATGCGGGTCATTAAAACTCTTGCATTTTACATACTGGGAGTCGAACCCAGGCCACCTGGGTGTAAACCAGGAATCCCAACCACTAGACTTTATGGGAAAACTGCCAATGCTGTTTTGGGAGAAATAGAGAAAACTAAAGTGAAAAGAAAAATAGCAGAAAAATAGCACCACCATCATCTTCCAAGTATGATGACCATCTGTGACAAGTATATGACTTTCAGCAGGCAGCCTCGTTAGCGCAGTAGGTAGCGCGTCAGTCTCATAATCTGAAGGTCGTGAGTTCGATCCTCACACGGGGCACTCTTCTTTATGCATTTTGTGTGACTTGGAGTCCTTAATGGCTGAAAGCCACAACTCTGCCT